GGGGGCTTTGTTGTGCTCAGGTTAGTCTGAGTTGCAGGGGGTTTAAAATGGTGAACTGCATTGCTATTTTTTGGCTTCGCGTTCGTGGTCGTGCCTCATCTTCATGGTGGGTGTCAGTTTGCTTCATGTATGGATTGGAGGGGTTTAAAGTGGCTAATGATGCAGCTGTGGTCTGGCTTCTGGTTTGTGGTCGTGCCTCATCATCGGTGTGGCTATGGGTTTGCTTTTTGCGTGGATGTGTGGTGGTGAAATCCTGTGTGGTTTTTGTGAGTGTGGGTCTGGTGTCATTTTTTGTGTTAGGGAGTCGTTTGTCAATAAGGGTGGGTTTCCAAATGGCTGGTGGGCGGGAGGTATCATCTTGTTTGTTCATGCTGTGTGGGCGTTTTTCTATCTCGATGGCTTCTCTGATTATTCTGTTATTAAAATGTTCAGTTCTGGCAATAGTTCTGGTCTTTTTAAAGTCAATTTCATGTCCTGTGATTTTAAGGTGTTGGACCAGAGAAGAAGTTGGTTCCTCTTTTTTGACTGAGTTCTTATGTTCTTCAATACGTATGGAGGGTATTTTCTGTTTAGATAATATTAGTTTCTTTTTCCTATTATCCTTCTTTCTCTTTAATTTGGCCTGTAAATTTTGAATAGTTAATTCACAATATACTCATCCAAGTTAAGATGTGCAGGTGAAGTTTCCACTATCATAAAAATATGTAACTTATACCAATCAAGATCAGGAACAATAGTTGAAAGGAGGTACACTTCTACTTCAAGGCTGTAAATAAATGGATTGTTAAAAGTAACATTCCCTTTGAGTCACTACAGTACATGAAACCAGTTTTCATAATATAAAATATAAAACCCTTATGTAACACATCATATTATATTCATTCATTCATTCAATTTGCATAGTCATCTATCTCATGCAAGCATTTTGCGATGGCTCATTCAAATTACACTTTACAAAGAGAAAATTTTGAAACAGGGCTGACTCTTCCACTTGACCCTGGTGCACAGTCACTGCAGCAGTTGTTAGTATTATATTTTTTTATTGTCCGTCATGAAGATTTTCTAGGATTTTCTGTTTTAAAAATCTACTTTGGTTTGAGTGGTTTGGGAATACTCCTTGCAGCACTGCTGAAGACTCTTAAGAAGCGTGTCCTATCTTTATGTTTAAAAGCAAGAGAAAGAACTCCCTGATTAAACTTTCCATGGAGATTTTCAAACAGCTCCCCAACCCGGTCACGAAATCTGCACATACTTTGTAACCAGAAAGCCTCTTGACATCAAATCTTTGGTATGAATAAGTATCAAAACTTATGCAGGCAGGCAGAAAAAGTCCCCTTATAAAATGAAATTGGATATCAAACTCAAGTGATGTTAATGAAAAGGAGCAACTTTGGCAAGAAGAATGCAAATTGGAGGTTTAAAAGAGGCCTAGGAGCAAATGTGAAGACTAAAGAGGTAAATGAAGGCTGACAAGCCATAAGGAATTCTTTAACAGCATCCAAGAAAAAGGAACTCTCAGGACAGAATTGGTGGGCCTGCTGTACTACCAGACTGTGCGGGGTACAGAGACTGAAGAGACTGTCCAGAAACAAAAATCTTGTTTTTGCAGAGGAGGAAAAAGAAAAGCTTAACCTGAAGGTGAGACACATAACGAAGTATAGAACCATTTGATACTGTCCCATAAACACTGCTTATTTAAGTATAAAAACACACACACACATATACATATACAGGCATCTCAATTTATGATTGCTCATTTAACAATTGTTCAAAGTTACAACAACCTTAGAAAAAGTGACAGTTGGTGGGATTGGTCTTGAACGCTTTTTGTTTGGGCCATTTACTGTTAGCTTGTTTGGCAAGTCCTTGATTGTGTATTGTTTACTTCATCAAGAACAATGATGAAGTGAACCAACACTGAAAGGACAAGCCACTAGAAAATAAACAGAGAGCAAACTTCACTCCTTACTGGCACTGATGGTGTTATCTAGTTTTGGTAATGAAATGTCGGCAAGAAAACAACCAAGCTCAGAGAGCACCAAGGACTTCTCATTTCAACCCTGAGCTACAAATATTCTCCTTTATTGATCTGATGCCCTCAAACTCCATCCCATCAACTCTTCAGATTGCTCCAAATGAGGGGTGAGCACTGTGCAGGCACAGAAAAGCACTTTCTCTCCCTATTCTCCAACAGCTGCCAGCCAATTGAAGGAGTGCATGGCGACTGCCAGAGCTGGACCTGACTTGGCTTCATCTCCTGCCCCTGTGACCTCACACAGGCTAGACAGGGACAGCCAAAGGGCAGGTTTGTTCTAAAGCCAATGGTTTCCAGGCACACCACTCATTTGACAAATACTCCCAATAGTCAGCTAGTAGGCAATTAAACTCTGCACCAGAAAAGCTTGAGCCCTATGGCCAGTTTATAAGAAGGAAACTGGGCCAATCTGTATAAGCTAAAGATCAGCAATAAAGAAAAAATCTTGCTATCAGGATTTGATGCCTGGCATCTCCACTTACAGATTACAATGTTTAGCTTCATGAAAACTACAAATGTTTTAAGCCTAGACACAGTGGTGGGATTCAGCCAGTTCTCACCACTTCAGCAGAACCGATAGCTAATTTTTTGTTGCCCAGGCCCAGAATGGACTTTCGGAAGTGGCATCCACACAGAGAACCAGTTGTTCACATATTTGAATCCCACCACTGCCTGGACAGCCCTGGGATATGGCTCTTCTCCATATTATTTTTGACCAATCTGGGAAATGCATTGTGTTGACATAAAAAGTAGCCATGGTATGGAGGCCTCCAATTTAACCTCAGACTTCCAACAACACCAAATGTCATTATAATGAATCACATTCCTCCCATGCATTATAGAATCAACAACTAATTAGGCTGAGCCAAGTTTGGTGGCAGCACACTGCCCAGCAAATATTCCATTATCATGCAACTCCAAAAACTATTGCTTGAAATGTTAAAAAGAAACTGTTACCATTACTGTCCTGTACTCCATCAGAAATAATACTGAGAGTTGGGAAGATGACTTTGAAGGAAATAGGCAAGAGCTGTTGTACAAGCAAAGAGGGCTGAACATTCCTTAAGTTCCAAGAAACAAGATAATTTGGAAGAGACTCTCCAGTTCCCTGGATTATAAGAATGTGGAGAGAACAATACAATCATTTTTATAAGTTTCTGTTACTAGAGCCTATATTCACCAAGTATAGCTCTAACCTTCTAGTGGAATCAGTTTTCTGATATGCTAATCAACTGAGTAACAGTTGATTAAATATTTTTTTAAAATGCTATAGTCCATAGTGATGAGCAATTGTAGTATGATAAGTAATGTTACTCTTCTCTGATCCAATGTGCTAAGATTTTAAAAAGAAATGGCAATGAGAACATACAGTAGAACATCAGTTGGAAGGGACCTTGGAGTTCAAGCACGAAATCCTACACCATTTCAGACAAATGACTGTCCAGTCTCTTCTTAAAAGCCTCCAGTGTTGAAACACCCACAACTGCTGAAGGCAAGCTGTTCCGCTGTTTGATTGTTCCCAGTGTCAGGAAATCTCTCCTTAGTTCTAGATTGCTTCTCTCCTTGGTTAGTTTCCATCCTTTGCTTCTTGTCTTACCTTCTGGTGCTTTGGAAAATAAAGCAGCCCCTCAAATATTGGAACGTTGCTATCATGTTATCCCTAGTTCTTGTTTTTACTAGATTTTACCCAATTCCTGCAACCATTCTTCATATCTTTTAACCTCTAGGACCCAGGTCATCAGGATATAGGTATATCGCTACACAGATGGAACCAGCTCAACCAATTTGGGGGATGGGGGGAATGTAGTAGTAACTGGGGTGGCTAGCCCACCTAAAATTGTCAGTCCCATGAACAGATCTATCAACTCTAGAAGGAATTCTATCAAGAATTCTCAACTCTTCCTTTGGGAAACAGTAATAGACAATTGAGAAAGTAAAGCGCTATAGAACTGAATACTTAGCTCTCTGTTCTATATTAATGGCATTTTCTAACACCTATTAGGTTCCCTGATCACCCTTCCTTCAATCAGAAAGGAGTTGTGTAAAGAAAGATGTCTGTACTTCAGTCTCTGGAGAACTCTAAAGGAAAAAAAAATCAACAAAATGCAGGCAGTCCTCGACTTACAACCAAAATTGAGCCCAAAATTTCTGTTGCTAAGTGAGACATTTATTAGTGCCTCATTTTACAACCTTTGTTTCCACAGTTGTTAAGTGAATCACTGTAGTTGTTCAGTTAGCAACACGGTTGTTAAATGAATCTTGTTTCCCTTTGAATTTGCTTGTCAGAACATTGCAAAGGGTGATCGCATGACCCCGGGGTACTGCAATCGACATAAGTGTGAGTCAATTGCCAAGCATCTGAATTTTCATCACAGGATCATAGGGATGCTGCAACAGTCGTAAGTGTGAAAAATGGCCATAAGTCACTTTTTTCAATGCCATTGTAATTTTGAACAGTCACTAAATGAACTATTGTAAGTCAATGACTACCTCAGTGGTTCTCAACCTGTGGGTCGGGACCCCATTTGAGGTCAAACGACCATTTCACGGGGGTCGCCAAACAAGGCTGTCTGCCATTTTTTCCCCTTTTCTTTGGCCACGCCCCTGGCACCCGGTGATGTATAAGTGGTTGGGGGTCACCACAACATGGGGAACTGTATTATGGGGTCGTGGCATTAGAAAGGTTGAGAACCACTGGACTACCTGTATATGAATCTGATTAGAGCTATTTTCTAAACTTAATCTCTTCTTTCTCTTGGAAAGGAAATACATTTTCTCTGTTTTCCACTAATTGCCCTTAGAGGCAAAGGAAGAAAAGTAGCAAGAAGGACCAAAGGGGAACTATTTTTTAAAAAAAAAAAAAAAATAAAAACATGAACAAAGATTAATGCACATTTAATGGTCTGGAGGTGAGAGACTAAAGCATGGTTTTATTCTTATTTTGTTGCTTCTTTGCTTTGCTCACCTTGATGTAATTCCCATTGCAGACTCAGATGCACCCAGCCAACCTGTTAATGAAAATGAGAGAGCTCAGACACCAGATAAGAATACGGTTGTGACCTCTGGGAAAACAGCTATCGAAAACAAACAACTCAGTCAGGTAACCCAGGCTATCGGGAGCGAATCAGGACACCTCTGTAGGTTCCTGGTAATAAGTACAAGGCTTCTTCCTGCTAAAATAGATAACTGCATCAAGGTTTTTCCCCACATCCTGACAGCTTTTTAAAAAAGGAGGGCAGGTTGTGAGGCCTAATGCACAGACGGTAAAGTTTAAAACACAGTATGAAGTAGAGTTTAATGAATAGAGAATGTAATTGGGTGAAGGTTCGTACTCATTGTGCCTCTTTCAGTGCTTTATAGGATTATTACTCTGAAATTGTAGCCAGAAAGCAATGCAGATTGTGATTGCTGTACTTCGAACCCAAGGTGTAAAAAGGTGAACCCCAAGGAAAAAGATGATTCCGAGTTAGCACAATTTTTAACAGTTGTGTATTCGTCTACAAATTACCAGTCATTTCTGTTCCTGTTTTCAAAAGATCCTTAATAGTATATTTCTCTTCAGCTGCTGACAGACTTCCCCTAAGCTTAATAGAATAAATTGTTCTCCAAATCAGTTTTTAAAAGCCACCTGCTTTCCATCAAAACCCATGTTTGCTTGCATATAAACCCCTCAGCCCAAAATAGAGACTATTCTGTCTGACATTAAATAGCCAGATTTCTACAGAATATGTGTATTCCATAAAAATAACTCTATAGCACTTTAGCACTTAAAAATAGACCAGATCAGGGAACAGATTCCATAGGAAGACAAGAATTAGAGTTCATTGAGAGAGGCTAAATAACAGAACCTTAATAGCCTGATTATGCTTTACCTCCCTCCCACTTATAGCGAAGTGAAACAAGGAGGAGCTTGGTGGCTCTTGTTTTCTGCAGACATTTCATTACCCAACTAGGTAATATCATCAGTGCTGGAAGGGAGTGTGATTTGATCTTTTTTTTTAAGCAGTTGGTGGAGTGTCTTGGAGGTTCCTTGGTCAGGCTGCTGTTTAATGATAGCTTGTTTGTCTGAATTGGAAGTTCCTTTGGCATACCAATAATGTGGTCATCCAGAGAGTAGAAAGCCATTGGGGAACATGAAACACTCAATAAGGAAAAAAAAAAAAAAAGAAAATACTGCTCTCTCTCTCTCTCGCTCTCTCTCTCTCTCTCTCTCTCTCTCTCTCTCTGTGTGTGTGTGTGTGTGTGTGTGTGTGTGTGTAATTAGAGAAAGTGAGAAATATAATAATTGTGACCCATTTCTTCAAAACATTTTCCAGAAAGAGGTCCTTTCCTTGTCATGATTTGTATGCATTAATATGGACAAAGTTAACAGGAGACAATGAAATACTGAATCAGCTTATTGGCTCAACTAACCATTGCTCCAATGCCCACAGCAACTTTCCAGAATTCAAGCAGCTATTTCTCCATCTCTTTATGGAGAGACAAGGAACTGAACTTGGGGTTTTTAATGTGCAAAATATTTACTCATTGAGCTATGGCTGTTTCGCTCATAAATGTGCTGTACAGATGATTTGAAAAATTACAGCTTTATTACAGGATAAGCAAATAACAATAACAATAATAATAACAATAATAATAATAATCTGCATTATTTGTGTCTAGTTTCTTTTTCAGTTTTGCCCTTTCCAAGCAAAGATACCCTTGCAAAAATAAGAAAATATGTTCCTTTACTGATAAGAACTATAGGAATTATTTTTAATAGGTCCTACCTAATTTCATTAATGTACACTCAGTAATACCTAAAGTTCTCCTGACATCCTTATCTCTCATCAGCTCTGCTTCTATACTGAAAAAGACTTACAGGAAAGCCCAAAGCTTCCCAAGTATTTTAGGAGAAAATTGGAAACATCATGATTTTTTTCAAAAGCTGAGAGATTGGAAAAGATAATATTGATTATGAACTGAGCAGATGGGATACTTACTCATTCTACCGTCACGTTTCTGGAGAGAAAGGATTTGTCTTTCATATTTCAAAATACGCCATCCTTCCCCAACAAAGGAAAGGTGGCATCAGAAGAACAATTTTCAACAATGGAACATCACTGTCTTAGGAGATGTTCTCTGAAGGTGCTTAAGGGAAATTGGGTGACCATCTGTTGGGAATGTGTAGAAATAGATACCTGCACTAGACACGGAGAAAGTTGATGAGAATAATTTAACTCTTACATTCTATGGCTCTAAGTTACAGAATAGGTATTATGATGCTGGTTTCAATGAAAAAGGGAGAAGTGCATTTTGATCCCCAAGTTCTTAGGACACTCTAGGGAGTTTATAATTCAGAAAATTTAGAAAATAATTTATCTAATGTTAACCTACATTTTTCCTCCCCCCCCCCCCAAGAATGTGATCAGTGCCATTGTAGTATTAATGGCCATAGAATTAAATCCCTAAATTTTAATATATTGTACACTGATGGATCTCAAGTACTCTTTCAGCATAGAACAGCATCTGTCTCATGATTATAAAGGAAACACACATCAGAATTTCACTTCAAAGAAGTTTCATGGGCTTGGACTCATCCATATATCCAGTATCTACAACTGGATTCCAGCATGAATATAGTATTTACAGGCAGGCATGTTGCTTGTGTGCACATAAGCAACATCCTTCTTTAAAAGAATTACTTGCTGGTTCCACTGACATTGCATTTATAGTAGTTACAAACCTAGCAGCTGCCTTTATATCACATGCTGAGTTTGGTCCTAAACTGGATTAATTTTATGTCTATAGATTAAATACTGTAGATTGTGCAGATCCAGAAAATGGCTTAATTCATGTGTAATGAAGGAATTCTCAAATTGGATCAAGACCAACCAGAATGTTATAATGTTTGGGAGGAGGGCACAGTTTTTTCAAAAAACTGTTCATGACTTTCTCTTTGCTTTACCTGCATCAGTTGGTGTCACAATTTTGGAGTCTCTCTGCAATAATATAGATTGAAATTTACTCATTCAAAGGGATACATTAATTTCTTATCCAGCCCTAATCCCAATGAAATAATTAGCCTATTTGGGAGAAGGGTCCATAAATTCATTCATCATTTTAAGGAGTCATAGTACTACAAAATTTGGCAACTGTTGAAGTAAATACCAAGGCAGAACAAATAAAGCTGCAAAAAAAAAAAAACCCATTCAGGACATGTACATATTTATTTATTTTGCAAAAGTACCCTTGCAGATTAAAAATGTTGACTGCAACAAGTAGCTAGGGCAGTTAAAATGTCTGGCAGCACCAGATAGAAACAAACATCACAACAGAGGACAGTGATTACATGGTGTATATGAGCAGCATACACAGTTCCAGTGAATTTTCATTCATTTGTCCTGACAAAGAATAGTTCAAAGCCGCTATAGCAGATGCCACAACTACAGCTGTGATTTTCTCAGTTTCTAGCACAATTACAAACAGCAACTACATGTAGCCAATCTCCAGACACAATCCAGAATGGACACAAGTGAATCTACCATACAGTGGCTTATATGTTTTTTTCTGAAATTTTCAGGAAACTTTAATAACCTCATTTTCCACTTATCTGAATATAGTGATATTTTAGCAATTGCATAGTCATTTTGTAACACATACACATTTGCCCCTTAGGTTAAATGTGTACAGCAGGGCAAAGTTTGAGGAATGAATATGTTTAAAAGGATGCCATTTTCTGTGCATTTCTAACATTAGTTGGATGCAGTAATGGAAATCTTTATTGTTAGCTGTGGCACTGACATTGGCATTTTTTCACACTCTGGTTCGGATTAGGGATTCACAGATCAGTAAAAATTTCCATTTTATTGTAATCATTTGCAAGACAGTTAATCACTTCTTTAAAAATATGTTTTAAAATATTTATGTCTATTTTCTTTGCAATTTCCCATTAATACATGGGGGAAGAACCTAGAGAAATTGACCATGTATTGCAAAGTGGGAGGAAGACAGAACACACATAGTGTCATACAGAATTTTCTCAACATAAGCTTTCTTTCTTTCTTTCTTTTTCCCAGACATAACCACCCTTCCTTCCCATCCCTTTTCAAATGGATCTGAGTGAATAAATGGGATTTTGTGCACTACTTTGGCAAAAAGAATGTTTGCAGTCTATTCAGTGCCAGGAAGGGCCCCTTTTTAATAAAATCTGTAAATCTACTTCATAGAAACCCATAGTAAATTTCTTCTCCATCCATAATTCAGGCAAATATTAAAGGTTATAACTGCTTTTCCTTGTTTAGAATGCAAAGTGAAAGTTTTAAAATCGAAGTCATGCTTAGAGCTGTCGCATCTACAAAACTAAAGGATACCACCCTCACTCACCCCTCTCAAATGGTGCTCCAATAAAACCAGTTTAAAAGTAGCTTCTAATTCCTCAGATCCTAAGGTTTTATCAGTGAGAAGTAAGCATTATTGAGTGGAAAGGATTTCCCCCACCTACCCACCCGCTGGGTACTTGGTGATTTTGTGCCAATTCAAAAGTGGTTATGGATCTATATTGGTGAGAGCAGCCAGTGAGCTGATTCAGTTCTGTCTCAACTGCAGAACACCTGCACTGCACCAGTGAAGCTCTGCAGCCAGTGTGCTCAATCTATATCCCCATTGGTTGGAGCGTTCCAATTCCTGGAGAACTGAAGAAGCTTCTTGGGTGAGAAGCGAAACGTTTTCAAAGAAAAAAACAAAGAAAGCTCAGTTGCCTTTTGAAAAGCACCTTTGGGACTTTACCAGGTCCTTTAAGGGGAAAGCTGAATTGTGGGGGTGAAAGTGACCAGAATTCTGTCCATTTCTCCTTCTCTTGGCCAGGGGAGAAAGAGGTATGCAAAATGCCAGACTATTTGTACGGTTCTGGTTTTTTCTTTCTTTTCCTCATTTGTGCAAGGTCCAGTAATGATATTTTAGTTATTTCAGTAGTGGCTCAGTGTGGAACAGCTGCTACAGTGAGTTGTAGTTTCTGCAACCTAAAACC